TGGGGATATCGATGCGTACTGACGGATAATAATGACGTCAGCGCTCAAAGAAAGTTAGATTAAGATCCAATACACTTACCGACGGTGCAGGTGCATATCCGTCGCGGCAAAGGTGTCCTGGAGGCGTAGCTATAGTGCGGTATCAAGTATATAGGTGGCAAGCATCCACAGCAGATTCAAAAGTCACAAGTGAACAGGCCATACAGTTACCGGAGGTGCACCGAACGGGTGAAACGCGTTGAAGTGCTTCATGCTCACTGTCTGTGGAGACTTTATAGTGTCCCATGGCACGTATTTGTCTGTTACGATGAACGGAGTAAGGGAATATAATGCAATGCCAATCCTACGATGTCAGTGAACAACCGCCGGCTCAGATTATGTTACTAGTATCCGTAACCCATTACATATGGCGATTCGGCATGACATCATCAACGAAATGAGCAATAACTCACCCTCCCCCCGTGGCCGCGGCACATGCGGTTGCCCACCAACCTTGAAGATGCGTACGCCAAATGGGATAACACAGGTGTCTATTAACGGAGGACTTCGCTAAATGCTGGAATCCGATTTTCTATTTTGATGCATATGTATTGATTACGCGTAGAGAAGCAATATTACCTTGACGTGGAATGTCAGCAGTGCCGTGGACTGCAGCACGCCATGGCGGTAATTCTCAATGATGACGCAGAACTAAAACATCCTCTATTAACCGCTAATGAAACCTACCGGCGCAGAACAGTGATGCCCAGCGGCCACCGTGAAGCTGTTGACTGGGAAGTTAACGACACTGCAGAGTCACAGGTGGTTCACGTGGCAGCAACACGGATTAGCATCAAAGGAAAGTTTCAGTCAACACTGCAGTAACCTGACGAGGCATAAGGGATGTGCGGACAAACGAGTCATACCTGGAGGACATGTCATCCGAGGAGGTTTCCCGAGGTTGTGCACGCACTACGACGAGCAAGAAAAGCAAACAAAATCCGTATCACCGGCGGAGCAGAAACAGGATGCATGGTATCATTGCGAGCATACATCACAAATTACCCATTCCACGGCGTCACCATGACCTTGCATACCATCCTCCCGCTAAAAAAACCACAGACAGCTTCAGAACTGGTTCCCTGAGTAAGTCGCCTCCGTTTAACGGGCACCCGGTAGGAGGAAAATGTGGCAGTAGGACGTTTCCAAAAATCTTTGTCCCTAAGGGCACGCTTATTAAGGCTCACTTCCGTCAAGCGGCATTTCAGTGGCAATTTACGGTTCCCAAACCCGATTGCGGAGGCGGAGGAACCCTTGGTGTTGTTGAACTCGTCGGGCAGACATCCATCACCTACGTGCCTTGCGCGGGCTGCGGAACCTCATTTCCGGACGCTGTGGATACCGCGATGGCTGTCACATCAGGTGAGCTTCCCTGCGTTAGTAAACGACAGGACATCCGTACGTTCGCTTCCGTGTCCAGGGAAGGGTTACAGGCCGCTTCGAAGTACGACCATATTGCTGAAAAGCTCCTTCCTTGGACAGCAATGGCGCAAACATTTTCCACGCGTTCAAGGCAACGGAGAAGTTATCCTATCCGTAGCCGCATAACTGCGTGCTAATGTCCCACACAGTTTCTTGCGACTTGCGCACATTCAAAGCATGGCTGACAACTACGTTACTATTTGCGGGCTGACGATTTCGAATCTCCAACACACTATCCTCCGGCACACGGTCTGAGTTGTCTGCTGGAGCTTGCCGGGACGCAATCCACTGACAACCATGCAGTACGTCATCCGCGGAATGGCCGTGAAAGAAAGCGACGTAACAAATGTGATCACATGGTAGCCGCCATTGGCAACTGAACTCGCAATCACAATCGCTTCCACGGGTGATGTAAACAGGGTGCACCTTAGACCGACGACAGGAAACCAACCAACACGGCCCATCAGCCCTATAACCGAGAAACGAGGATGCACGGAAATGGGTTGAGAAAGCATTCGCTGTGAAAGCACTCTGCTGCTTGTAAACCAAGTCCACAGAAAAACCTCCGGTGGAATGGAACGGCGCGCACGTAAAGCCTACCTATGATGCTGTTCCGTTAATGCACGTAACTGCTGACGCGATCAACGATGCAGGTGAAGAGGGTCAGCTGGGAGGATTTCTCAGAGAAGTACTACTTTAGATGTTTGTTTTCTTTCTCTACCCTGTTTGTCGTATGGCATCCGAAAAGCACGACATCTCTCTGTCTGTTGGCCACCCAACACTCCGCGTATTGGTGTCATGTTCCGCAAAAATTGCAGTTGCATTCAGCATTACAGGACCGCACCGCGTTTAATAACCTTTCAAATTGGCATGCACCACGAGTGCAGGTCAGGTTATGCAACCATGCGCGTAACCGTAGTCGTCGAGCATCCGATATGCCACGTAAGCGACCGCACCATCGAGTCATGTCACCTTTCACATAGTAACGGCAAACACAACCTTTGCGTTTGGTAAAAGCGATGAAACGCCCTCACCTGAGGTGCACATTTATCCATCACCACCGCGTGGCAATGTCTGCTGCTTGGCACCATTTCCCGCATCGCCTCAACCGCTTGATTATAGCTGTAGGACGTCTCATTCGGTAAAAGGGCGTAGAAAAAACAAATCCCTGGACCAGTGACGCCGACGAACCTTCAATGCCACAATACGTATCCCACCTAATTTAACTGTTGTGTAGCATCGCATAATAATACCTCGCCATACCGTTTCACGATGGCACGGACAACAAATGAGAAAAGTACATATACCGAAGCTGCTTCCCCTCTGACACCAGCCGCCAAACACCGTGACGTTCCAACATGGATGCCACCTCCGCAATCTCACATACCGTCCTACTTTCAGGAAGTAAACGCAACTTACTGAGGTCCATGCGCGTTACACGCTGGCCGTATTAGTGATAAATAAACCGTCTCAAATAGGCTGTGCTGTAGTAACTATCCAGCAATCGCAGCACGTCCAACTCTCGCCGCTGTGACAGCCGCAGGTGAAATTCATGCCCATGGATCATGCAATAACTTCCGATGACATATCTTCCCTCCTTCATAAGCACCGTGAACCGCGCCTTGCCATTGTACGAGTTGTGTCTACATGAATTAGTTAACGTAATGGTTAACTATGCATTTACCATGAGCTCCGGAACGTTTAGGATGCACGCAGCGGTACAGGATGTAACCGTAGCCACCAGCGTCGGGCAACTGCATTCCCCTTCCACGCTTGGATACCGCCGCGGACACGTATGTCACTCGGAAAAAGCAAGTCGCCGTTTCAATCTGAAAACCTCCCAAATGCAACATCAACTATGGCCACCGAAATCATAATACGAACAGCATACATATGCACCCTGATCCTTACCCCTTTACTTTGCATTAATTCATCTCACCAACCAATTTGCTCTACATTTTCCAACTATTGGGCACTTATCCCCCTTGACAACGTTGCTAGGTTACACTATTGCTATGTACCAATTGTACCACGGAACTTCCTCAAGCATCACATTTTCCTTATAGTGCAATCAAACGGCACCCTGAGTTAAATAACTGTTAGGTAGTTGGTTGGGGTGCGCCGATAATTGCCGATTAATGGACTAGAATTAAAGAATAATTTAGAGTCCACAACGAGTGTTCCAAATTTAGACAAGATGTTTTAAGCTAGGTTTCCGTTAGAAAGCAGGTCCGGTTTAATATACTCTGCCTTATCGAGAAATAGAGGACATATCTCCTCACGTGGTAGGTTACCAACTACGCTTAGATACACAGACTGGTAGTATTCAGCACAAGTTACTGTTGCTGCCAATATAATAATGTTCGAAATCCTTTAACATATACCTATCAATAGAATTTCTAATGATGGGATGTAAGTCGGTAGACCGGCTGCAAATCTATTCGCCGATAGTGAAGTTAGTTTAAAAGTTCGTAAGTAAGTAGCAGTCGCCTTCTGTGCCGAAGAAACAGTTTCAGTGTGCGTATTGCTTTCGCTTGGAACGCCCTCCCTGTAGTTGTTGTCTCAGCGCCCAATACGGAAGCTTTCAAACAGCGCATAGACGCTTGGCTCTTACCTCGCTGGTCTTCCACGTTGCTAAGATCTGGCCATTTGCCAAGCTAACACGCGGCGCTTCTATCATTTTGCTTCTATCCAACTTTGCCGCATTTACCTACACCACACTCTTGTTCCAGGTATCCACGTTCCCACTGTCAACTCGCTGAATACTTGTGCTGAACACCACTACTGCGTCGAGACCCACAACATCTGGTACCTACCGACGAGATCAGGACCTTGCCGTAAGGTCCCGAGGCAGAACCACCGAAAAGCTACGCTTTCTCGTTCTGCGCAACCTGTGAAACCCGTGAAACCCGTGAAATTATGAAAGCAGTATGGTGTATGTAAGCTATGTAACGTTAGCTGTGTGCTGTCGACCACACATCGAGTTTCAGGTTTATAAATACTGACTCTTCGCGGATGTACTCAGGTGGAAGGATGCCTGACAAATTGGCGTCGTCGTGTGTCTAATTAAATTCAATAGGTTTAAAACGAGCAATAACCAAAAACAGCAGACCTGTCTGTTTTCTAAACCGACGGTAGTGGACAATGCGGCGTACCATGTTCCATATAATAGGCGCAGTGGTAGAGCAGCGGACCGGAAATTCGATGGACAGGAGTTCGATTTCCCGTCGAGGCACATTATTGTGTGTGAATTTTAATCGTGAATTCTACTTTCTACGAACTTTACACTACTCACAATCCTCCGGCATTAAAACTATATTTGTAGTGATAACTCGCTACAACCCCATGTGAAAAACAGCATTACAGTGATTTTTATCATCCGTGCACTAAGTGGGAAGTGCTGTATTTGACAAAGGATTTCCTTCCTGCCCTACGACATCTAATGAATCAGTATTTGTCTCGACCTTGGGCCTTTACTTGAACTGACCTTGGCTGCAGTACAGCTGGTAGGCGTGTGTGTGTACGGGTGTGCAAGTGCGATGTCCGATGTTACTGATTCATCTGGTCTAGATCCGGAGATATTGGAATTACAAAAGCGGTTGTATAAAGAGCAGCTTATTAGACAAGCCTCCTTTAAGAAAGGAAGCAAATTCTATCCTGTCAATATTGAACCTTTTGCTCTTGAGAGAGATCGTCTAGCCCTTCCATTTACTGATGGGGACCGGGCTGCAAGAAAACAATGGTTACACGACCAAGTTCTCTCCGAACGTGAGCCCGTAAACATACCAGAGTGGAGCCGGGTGAATATCTTTCGTCGCGCTTATCGAAAGCCTTATGATATGCTCACATCTGTGGTGGAACCCGTGCTAGTAGGTATTTACTTGGTATTTACGTCCTATACAGGGTCCTAAATACAGTCAGTTCTTTCGGTGGATCTTTCCTAAATTCATTTTTGCCTTTTCCGCTACGTGTTTTGTTTGGTACAACCTCAAGTACTCACCTAGGGCAAGTTGAACTTCATTTTGATCTCGGTATATAGAATTGGGAATATGGTGAACGGGGTGCTCGCATCGACTTAGCGCGCAAACCAAACATGTTCCCAGTGAGTTACAATAAATTCAATAACTTGTTTGTAAGGGAATGCCGGGCTTTCCTGATGGCATCGAAACGCCTGAATTTGCAATGGAAGATTTTGAGAAGCGACGTGCATTTCTGGGTGACAAGTTGATTACCAGTGGTCCCTGATGTTTCTTCATCAGCTTTTGCTTTGTATCTGCCTGCTTCAAACATTCATCTAGTGTTGCTTCTAATTACATCACTTGCAGAAAGAACTAATTCATTTTGTACCATTATGCCTTTCGCCCCTATTTAAACACCTGGTTTGAATGGAGGCTAGGCTCTGGTATCTTATTATGGAAAGCGGAGGACGGCTTATGGCCACTTCTGCTTGGACTGCCAGTATATCCTTTTTAAGCAACACTTACCAGTTGAGCCATCGTAACGAGACGAATTTAACATGCTATAGTGGTCTGCGATCCTCCGTGACTCATTGAGCTACACCAGGTGGCACATTCCATGTAGATTAAGAGCCACTCATACCAGATACGTCAGTGTTTAGGGGTCAGCTTGATAGTCTCACAGTCAAATACTGGTCCATAGTCTTGCAATCTGACGGCGCGGGTTCGGGCCTGCGTAAGGGCAGAGCGACGCTCGCAGTATCCCTAGCCTACATGCGATTGGTGGGGGTTGTGCGGAAGCGAAGCGTCGGTTCTGTCTACCGGCGTACTGCTGATGCTCATTCTCACAAATCTTTCTTGAGAGTTGAAAGGAGGTTTATGGCCCTCATTTCTAAAGAAAAAGGCGGCGTCGACTATACGCCGGTGTGCTGCGCCGACGCTTCGTTGCCGCACAACTACCACCAGTCGCACGTGAGCGGATACTGCGAGTATCATCCCGTCCCTAAGCAGCCTCGGATCCGGTTCATCGGATTACAAGGAATACTACTGGCTGACAAGCACTGCAATTCATGATGCATTTCAATGTTATGTGTTCTTATCAAATTGAAATAGTAGGCATCGTACCCGGGACCATTTGGATGCTCATTGTTAGCGCTCCTCTCTTCCTTTGAAATCTAGTTATAGGCGGCAGCTTGGATCACATCTGGTGGAAACAGCGCGTGAGCAACGAGCGTCTTCGACGCCTTGTTTACAGCACAGGAAAAGGAACTGAACCTTTGTTTGCTCGCTAGGGGTGTAGATGGAAGATAAGAAGAGGTGTCCAAGCGAGGACTTGGTCGAGAGGAATGATGGCCCTCACTTCGGTGGCCTCGGTTAGAGCGTCTCAGCTCCGTGGTTGGGGTCCGAAAGACGATGAACACGTTTGGCTAGATACACTTGCTGACATGGCTAGGAGCCAGCCTTTGGCGTCCTTGCTATGAGTTTTTTTGTTCCTCCCCATCCCTTTTATCCCCCCTTTAACCACGATCTCATTCCGTAGCATAATATAATTTCGCATAATTTGTTGCCTAGTAGCCGGCTGGAAAGTTTCCGGGACGATGCCCATCCATTACTAGTAGCTCAGCTGACATGGAACTGTTGCTGAGATGTTTTACACCTCTAGCTAACGTGTATAGGCAGCCGCAGGTCTACAGGTTATCAGCTCACAGCCCAAATGGTGTAAAGCGTAAGCGCCACCCATTGTCTCTGACAGTGGGACACATTCTGGTGCTCAGTATTTTGCTACCGCCTGGATCAAGCTTGACAGCCCCTGATCAAATTGGTGGGAACCCGCCAACTACCACCTGCGCTGTTCGTGGTCGCAGGTGCGTAACGTTTTACTACCGTAGAACATTGTTCTAAATCTTGAACCGCTTCGTGACATGCCTCAAGCAGATCACAAGTCTATTCCAGTAACATTCTCGAGCTGGACTTACTCCCAACTGTCTTGTAGATCAGGCTGTTTAGCCAAAGACTCCGGGTTGAGACCCTAAAGTGAACTTTCATGTACCCCACTCCCTTATTGGTTAGATTTAAATCAGAAGCTAGACGTAAGACGACTCCAACAAATCCCTTCTCTCGGAATAAGCAGCCGGGGAGTATAATCTGCCCTCTCAACCCTATCGATAAAACTCTATCTTATTATTCTTGTTTTCCCCACGTCTCAACTATTTTCCCACTTGTCTGTTGGCCGATGCTCTCGCAGGCGTATCTAGCGATACATGTGGCTTTCATCAATCTTGGAGCATTATTTCCTTTTGAACGTTCGCAATCAGTGTCAGATCGGCTAACAGGCAACGTTAACTCTCACTGTTCACTCCCGGGGTACTGACTTATGCTGTGCCTCCGAAACGAACTGCCTCGTGGTGAATGTTCGACCTGGTTCTGAATCTACAGGATTGCTTTCACCTGCTCCCCTGCTCACTCTCGAAGGTGCACAATTTAGGCAAGGTGATAGTTTCGTCTGCCTTAGGAGCAGTGTTTCTGGAAAGAAGTTTCCCTTCGCATCGCTAAAGCGCCATCACCATTTGCCAATCTGAGGCACTTGTGGCGTCGTTGCGACGTCTCATTCTCCCTAAAGGGCCGCGTTTACAGCGCATCTGTTAGCTGAGTGTTGTATGGTAGCGAGTCCTGGCCGATTCGCATGGAAGACATGCGTCTTCTTTCCGCCTTGGATAACGGTTGTTTGAAGAGGATTGCTCGTGTTTGGTGACAACATCGAGTTAACAGTAATGACGGTCGACGTCGCACCTTGGAGAATGCGAGTATTCCCTTCAACGAACTGGTTTTGCTGCGCCAGTTGAGATGGTTCGGTCACGTCCTACGCATTGCACCTGAGCGTCTACCGCGTTGCACTCTATTCGCTCGTCAAGGACCTGGCTAGAGGCGACCGCGCGTGGGTCAGCCTCCCACTTGACGACAGCACATGAAATCGCTGACGTGTCTAGCCGTTGTTGGACCCGTACGTCTTCCAGGATGGGGAAGCAAAGATGAGGAGTGCCAGTGGCTTAACACTCTTGACATGGCCCGCGACCGGAATCAGCCGAAGAATTGTGTACAGAATTGTATTGCTTCACATGCTTAATGCTTCAAACATAAAAAGGACAAAAAAGGAAAAATGGGCGCATGAAAAACAAACTAGAAATGTTTTGTTCTATTTTTTACAAAATCAAAATGTTCCTTTCTTCTTGCGGCATATTAGCTGAAGTGTGTTGCTTCCCTTCAACTACTATGTCACGATGACTCTCTTATCCGCTCGTCTCCATAGTTTTTATTGGCTCTATGTCTTATTGCTAGACTGTTGAGATTACATACATACATACAAACCGATGGCTGACGAAGGATGTTTCATGGGTCTGGACCACCGAATGTCAGGAAGCTTTCGACAGAATGAAGTCATTAAATTCAGAACTGATGCTAACGTACTACGATCCAAAGCTACCAGTCATTGTGGCATTTGATGCATCCAGCTAAGGAGCCGGAGCAGTCATCTTCAACATCTACCCAGACGGGCCGAAGAGCCAGTTGCTCATGCCGCTCGTTCGCTGCCAGTATTAGAAAGAAATTGTAGCCAAATTGAGGAGGCTGTCGCTATTGTATATGCAGTGAAGCATTTCCACAAAATGCTACATGGCCGACGTTTTACCTTGAAACGTTTTACCTTACTAACGGATCACAAACCGCTTCTTGCCATATTCGGCTGGCAGGAAGGTATTACGTTCTATACGGCCAGTCGACTGTAGAAATGGGCGACAACTTTGCTGGGGTACGATTTCAACATCAAGTACCGATCTAGGAGCGAAATTTGTCAGGCCAATGCGCTGTCACGATTGTTGGACGAACGTCACCAACCAGAAGACAGTTGTTGCAAATGTCTCAATGGAAACGGAAGGTAACCGTGTGCTCTGGGATACTGTGAGCCAACTCTCAATATCTTTCAGTCAGATTCAAGACGCCACTCTACGGGACCCGTTGCTGTCACAGGTGAACACGTTTCACCACTCGCAGTGGTCACGATTAATTTCGGACGCACAGCATCGCCATTTTTATTGCCGACCCACCGTGGTCGTGTTTCTCGACATAAAAGGCATCGATTACACTTTCACTCCGCCATATTCTCGAGTTCCGCCATGTGTACCGAAAGCCAACGATTGTTTTCCTGGGTATCCGTGCTGCCTTAGGTTCTGTCGACAGGACTGCATTGTAATGCTGTCTGTTGGGGAACGACGTCCCCGGAACGTTCATTTCCCTACTGCGTGCTAGGCATAGTCCGACTTCGGGTAGGGCTTATGGCAAGCTTTCACTTTCCTTTACTGTCACTAGTGGAGTTCGACAAGGATGCCCTGTCTACCCATTCCTCTTCAATTTTGCCATGGAGTGTGTCTTCAAATATGTTTACAAATATTCGTAGAGCGCTGATGTTGAGTTACTTTCACGTGGTCCAGTTATTGACTTGGACCACGCTGATGCTATCTTCTTGCTAAGCGACGGTCCGCAGACTGTCCAACTGTCATTTAACCGCTTGGCGATTAAAACGTCAAAGTATGAGATGGCTTTTACCCCATCCAGCTGCAAAGCTCCTTTTCATGACTTTCAGGTGCCTGTACCTACACTCTTGGCGGTGAAAAACTGCAGGCTGAGGAGTGTTTTGTCTACTTGTGAAGCTGCATCACTGCTGCTGGAGACGATGTTTAGATACACATCTCAAGTGCCCCTCGCCCTCTCTAGGCTGAGATACTTGTGGCGCCGCCATGGCAACCGTCTATCCGTCAAAGGCGAGTTAATTGTTCGACTATCCGCACTGTACTGTTGTACAGTTGCGAGACTTGGCATGTTCGTACCGTTAACCTGCTCCGACTCTGTCTCCAAGCACCGTTGCTGACGCTCCATTTCCCTTGTGTGGTGACTACATCACGTAACCAATGTGGAAGTTAGCGAGTCTTGGGTAGAGACAGCCAATTCCTCGAGGAGCTTGTCCCGCTGTGTCAGATGCGGTGGTCTAGATATGTACTGCGCAAGCCCGCTCATCGGTATTCGCGTCGGGCGTTGCTCGCAGTTACT